TAATGAATTGGTATGAATATTGTTGTATGAGAAATTATATAAATGGATGATATAATGGGTCACTATGAGTAATGTGATGAGATGTGGTGGATAAGTACAGTGTTGCAAACTGATAACTAATATTGATGGTCATTGCATGTATGTGATGATGTGGTATGTTTGGTAGAGTTCATGTATGTTTTTTTGTCAAGATAGTGTAAGTCTATCCAAGTAAGATTCAAAGGTCATATATCTAGATCTTGGAGGTGTTATGATGGGGAACCTCTTGTAAGTGGTAAGAGGCAACCATGACCAACTGTGACACTTCGATAGCGCACCTTGATAGACGTCCCTTGGCTGAGGATAGTTTGAGGGAACCATTGTAAGGAGGTGATCTCTACATCGAAAGGAGGTGATCTCTTTCCATGGCTTCTAGGATATTATGAATCGAAGATGATGAGGAAATTTTGTACCATGTGCATGTAAAATTATATGCATTCATTGCATAAGTGTATGTACATTAATTGTGATTTTTTGGGTTGTTGGAATGAGTTTCAATATAATTTGACATAATTGAGATATATGTCGTTTTAATGATGGATAAACGCAAATGCTTATGTATGATGTTCGTATGTTTGTGATATCTTATACCTTATATATGGTGGACATGAATAAGATGTATTTTCACTCCCTAGGTATTGTTTTGTGTGTGTGTGTTTAGGTTGATTGCCAATTGCATGCTTAAATAAAGTACATAAAGAGGAATTTGATGGAGGCAAAACTTAATGCTTCAATAACATTGGGACTGCTTTAATAGTGTGATATTGAAATTGAGAGTTTACTATTTTTAGTGATAGTTGGAGTCAATTTTAGTGTGATGAATTCCTATTTTATATTAGAAGTTTGTGCAAACTGGCGAGTTGTGCCCAATTTTTGAATTTATATAATCGTTTGGTTTTATTTATTCAAATGTTTTGTTTAAGGAGATGTGAACCCTTTTACTATAAAGTAATAAATAATTATTTTATAACTTATTTTAAAATTTTAATTTTACTATATTAAAAATATTTATTAAATAATATATGGGGTAGAAGGGTCTCACAAATCTTGAGACTATGTCAAAATCTTGATATATGATTAAGTTCCACTATAACTTATCACAAGTTATAAGTATTGTTTCTACAAACCTTTTTAGGCTTAATCCAATATGTCTTAAAAACTATGATAAAATAATATATTTTATAATAAATATATTATGATTATATAATAATAATAATAAATATATAGTTATTAAAAATATTTTACTATTTTTTTTCAATTGATATTTTAATTTGTTTGAGATTGACTTTTTTGTTTTTAGTTGTTATAATTGATATATTTCTTTTAGTTATGTAAATAGGAAAAACAATAAACTTAAAAACAAAACAAATGATAATTTTTTAATTAAATGTTTAAGTATAATAATTGTAATTTAATATTTACTTAAATCTATTAATAAAAAAAGTTAAATTACACTCTTTGTCCTTTTATTTTCATCAATCCACAATTAGTATTTTTATTTTAAAATAGAAATATTTAGTTTCTCTAATTTTAAAAATATGAAATTTCGGTCATTCCATCAAATTAATATTTACTAATCACTAAATTTTAACACTTGCTCATATTTAAATGATATAATATTTAATAACATGACATTTAAATATAAAAAAATTGAAAAAAAAATACAAAGAATATTTTTATTATTCAAATAAATATGAATCACTCACAAAAATAAATATAAACAAAGATTTTTTATTTTTTATTTTTATTCATGTATATCATGTCACTAAATATAATGTGAAAATTTAATGATTAATAAATATTAAATTGATAAAAAAAAACGAAAATTTTATATTTTATAAAAATAAGATAACTAAGTATCTTTATTTTAAAATAAAAAAAAATCAAAATTACAAAAAAAAATAAAAAGATAAAATATATAATTTAACCTAAATTAGAAAACATATGAGCTCCCCTGTCATGGAGTACTAGGACCGTCCCTGAATCGGGCTGCCATCTACCCATTTAACATTGAAAAATGCTAGATCCTCTAAAAACCAAACAGCCTCCAAAATTTTAAAATATTCACACTTTTAAATAAATTTATTATAAAATAATTATTTAATTTAATATTTTATAGTTTAAATTAATTTTTTAAGGATTCAGATCAATCAAGGATCTAGCATTTTTCAATCCTCAGAAATCTCATGGTATATCCCGTTTGTTTCCTTGGGAACATTGATAAGATGCTTTCTTAATAAAATAAATAAATAAATAACTAAAAGGAATCAACGTACTTTGATTAATAAGAATCTTAGTTCCTTGAAGCATCCAATTCGACCTCTAGATCTGGGCAACCGTCATAACTGCGTATTTTAATATAAGAGTACATATAATGATATCAATGCTTTACGCTCAAACTTTGTTTTGGTTATTTAATTTAAATTTCTCTATTTTTTTATCTATAATTTTTTAAATATTCTTAAACATTTAATAACTCATATTTTATATTAGATTTTAATGATTCGACTATTTAATTTAAAATTTTCAATACGTAGATTAAATTTGTAAATTTTTAAAAAATTTAAAAATTATTTGATATTTCATGTCATTAATTCAAATGAACGTATAAAATGATTATAATTATCCGTTCATTTGATACTTTAAGAAGGTTATGACAATTCTTTCATTCTTATGCTTCTTATTTCATTTTTACGCCTGTGTGTTGAAGAACTTGGAGAAAAACCAAAGATAGTTAGAGATCACTTTAGAGATTTGTACCCTTTGACTAATTGTTCACCAATGTAAGAAAAGTAAGAAATCTCGTTCTGAAAGTGAGATAATTGTTGGGTAATGATATTGACTCCCAATCTATTCTTTGTTATATGCGTCGTATGAAGGGAAATCCTAAATTATGTTTTGTATTGTATTTTTATCTTCCATGTTATTCACCATAGCTATAATTGAAGTTATTGATGTATATGTATGCTTAATTTCATATATCAAACTAATCTTGTGAACCTTAGGTTTCCGATGGATTCTTGTGGGAATTCTAAGGAAATACATTTTTGGTGATTGTTTGAAAAGTTGGTACGAGCATGTAAATATATGTAATTTGTGTCTTTTAGAAGTGTAACTTGACCTTTGGAGTGTTTTTACTAATTGGAATTGCAAAGTTGGCAATTGATACATGAGGTGTGGAATTTGCATTTTCTGCAAATGTTGGGTGGCTGAGAGAAAAATTGTGCTCTTTGTGTCGTTCATTTAGGTGCGGAATGGTCCTCGTCAGGTGCGAGAGCTCCAAGAAGCTCTCTGTGGTGATTTTGTTAAGTGTGAGATGAATCACGTTGGGTATGAGTTGTCCAGAGAGCTATGGGTGCTTTCTAGGTATGCAACATCAAGCATGTGGGATGGTTGCTGCTGGGTGCCATCCTGTACTTGGTATCTTTTGAAGTTTGTAATTAATAGAGATTGATATGGATGACTCTTGTGCTATTGGCAAATCGTTGGAAATATGCATCACACATGCAGTCCGAAATTGATTAAGAATATAAAACTTGTATTTTTTTAATCATAATTCCCACCACTGGCCCACATGTGGTTGAATGGACAATTTGTTCTGTACTATGCATGTATTTCATTTCAACTTTAACATGTACTTTTGTTTCTATCTTACAAAATTGGAAGGGAAGAGAAGAGTTGAAAGTTCAAACAAACCTAATACGCATATTCTTTTAAGACACCTCTCGCTCTGAAGTTGCGTCTGAACACCACAGCCATAACCAAAACCATGTGTCTTATAATATATCCGTAACCGTTGATATCCGAACTCATCCTGACTTTGACAGGAAATATCCGGTTTGACTGAGTACAGGTACGGGTACGGGTAAAATTCGATATATTAAATTGGGTACGGGTACGGGTACGAGCATCTACTTACCCGTTCCGTACCCGTACCCGTCCCGTTTCCATTTTTAATTTAATACTTATTTTTAATTTAATTATATTAAAAAATTTAATATTTTTTTATGTGTAATTATTTATTATAATATGGAATAAAAAAATAACTTAATTATAATTATAATATAATAAAAAATAATTTAAAAATATTATTTTTTTACAAAAAATAAAAAATAAAAAATTTGACGAGTACAGGTACGGGTATACGCAATACCCAACGGAAACGGAGATGAGAATAAAAATCACATACTCGACAGATACGGGAACGGAGATGAGAATAAATTTGACTCACTAGGACGAGAACGAGTATCATAAAACTCATACTCGTCCCGTCCCGTTGCCATCCCTACTTATGGACAAGGGAGTCTCACTTTAAAGGTAGCTTCACCGTGAATAGAAATTACTCAAATTAGTGTCTTGTGTGTTGTTTTAATCTTCGAGGGTAGCGGATAAAATTTGGGAAATACTTTTAAAAATTTAATACTTTTATGAAAAAATAGGTGATGCAAATAATTTTAATTATATAAAGTATAAAATAATTCTATATTGTCATTTAATTATTAATTATTGTTATGTAAAATATTAATTTTATTATAAATAAGTAAATAATTATATCTAGTTAAAAATTAAAACAAATGATCATAAATTATATCGGCATTAAATTTAAATATTATTAATTTTTAAAATTAAAAAATATGATTACTTGTCTTATAAAAATTAATTGAGACCTTATAACTTTTTTTATTATTAAAAAGAATATATTTTTTAATAAATAAATAAATTTATTATTTTATCGCATTATTCTTTTTAAAATATTTACTTTTTAATATATGATTTTTCTTTCTACTTATAACAGTGAAGATAAAAAAGTAGAGTGTGAATGTTAAAATAATTTCTATATATGTCAAGACCATCCAAAATTCCCACTTCCTACGCATTTCTGAGTTATAGCAATTAGCCACCAACCAAAACCATCCACATTCAGCACCAAACTCATCATCCCCTAATAATTTTTTCTTTCCTTTTTTCTTAGCCTCTCTTTTATTTATTTTAATATATATATATATATAATCATTCATTCTTATTATTACCCCACTTGTATTATTTATTGGTTGTTGGTTATCAATATCATGTATGTCATCTTCTGACACCGATCTCTGCCACCACCCTTTTGCATGCCCTTCTTCTTCCTTTATAACGATTTGTGATTTGTGATTTGTGATTCATCAACTCTTGTGTCGTTTATTGAGATCTAGCTCGTCCTTCTGTTCGACACGTAGTTTGTTTCGGGGTGTTTGTCACCCTGCCGAACCCATTATTGAAACTTGTCAAATGGGTTTTTGAAGATTTAGATTTGTTGTGAAAAGTTGAACACTTTTTGTCACAAGTTTGGCTTTTGGGGTGTTGAGAAGGTTGTGAATTTTCTTGTTGTTTATTGTTTCAATGGGGTGTTTGGATGATGGGCGTTTCGCTGTTGAGATTGAAAATGGAGTGAGTGTTGGTCGTGGTGAAGTGGGTTTGGGGAATGAAGGTGGTGGTGTCATTGAAGATGCTGTGAAGGTTTTGTTGGAGGGTCTAGGGGAAGATGTAAACAGGGAGGGTCTTAGAAAGACACCACTTCGTGTTGCCAAGGCCCTTCGTGAAGGAACTAAAGGTGACTTGCTTTCCCCCTCAATTTTCTTTGTTATAAAAAAAGTTGTATTTTTATTTTTATATTCTTTTGCTTAATTTGCTGAACAATCTGTACAATTTGAATGGTGGTGACTGTTAAGTGTTGTAACTTTTGACCTTTGCAGTGATTTGTTAGTAATTGGATGTATAATATTTTGTGGCCTGATATGGAAACTTGGATGAATGGATCTAAGGCCATTCTACTGTTCATGTCAGTGTATGTTTGGATTAACGTTTGCAAACTTGTGTTTGAATGAACTTTATTTTGAAAACTAAGGTTGCAAAAAAATAAATAAAAATAAAAAACTATCAATTATCTTCGGTTTCAAACTGAGTTTCAAGGAAAAAAAATTGACTTAAAGCTCAGTTTAGAATCAGATTCAACTGAAAAACCGAACAAGAGACCTTTCAGTTTTACTTTTTGAAAGCCTCCCAACTGAAAGTTAACATGAGTGAGCATATACGGAGGATTATTTTTGTGTTTTGACTGTCTTTTTCCTTGGAAAATGGTTAGAGAAAAAGTTGGTTACAGGTAAGGATATTCATTTGTCTTTTATTATTTATGACTACCACATTTGGTATTTCTTAAGAGAACATTGGAAAATTTGTCCTAGTCCTTTTTATAAAACTTCCTCCAAATTTTCTACTGTAGTGTAGTAATTATTTCGTTTACAAAATATTCCTCGAGTAGAGATGTATTATTTCATTAGGTGGAACAAGATTAAGGGAATGACATTCCAATAGCTTAAGGGTAGTTCTAGAAAAATAATACAAATTCCACTAACTAAATTCCTTAATTCCTTAAAAGGGTTTTGTATATAGGATGAGAGGTAGTGTTTGTTATATATCTTAAGGCTTCTGCATTCTGAATTACTTTTTAGTTCTTAAAGAACACTATCTGTTCTTTCCTAGTTAGTAGGATTGTCCTGCTGGTGAAAGGGATAGACATAGGTATTGAGTGCTGAGTATTAATTCATCTTGTCAGCTTCCAGCTTAATATTGCCATTTTATAGAAAACCATGGTGAACTTTTAATTTCTTAATTTTTTTGACTGTTGATACGAACAACTGCATGACCAAGTCCCAGACAGTCAATTATTTCAGTTGGTCTACATCTTGTTTCAGACAAGCTCAAGTGGTTAACCATAAAGGATATTCTGTCTATTGTAATGAACTTGTTTGATCTCCCGGGATCCTCACTCAGCTACTTATCATGGAGAAGATATTGATTATTGCTTTTTCATTATCTTCCTTAAGCATTTCTTGCATGACACATGGTTAGGCAATTCCAACAGCTTTTGGAGAGGGACAATAAATAGTTTGTTGAAAAATGTTGACATGTTGCAGTTAAGCCAGTCTCTTCTCTGCAACAGAGCATTTGACATGCTGTTCTTTGTCAAGTTTTTTATTTACTTGAGTTCATTTTGTCCTCTTTGTTAATTTCATTTCAGCTCTATTGCGTGCCTTTTTTTGGTTCATGTGCTTCTGTGAATGCCATGGCCTTGGTTTGGTCTCCATTATTATGTAAATTATCATTTTCAAGCTTGAAAGTAGAATGCTTTTGGTCATTCTTCTTTTTCTTAAGGTACAATTACCAAAGGGAAAATCATTTATTTAATCCATGAATTATGTGATGCACCAAGTACTGGTTTAAGAATGTTTTTCATGGAAACTATTTATTTGATTATGTGTTTTTAAGAGGGACTGATATCTGGTCGAAAAGGTATCTTCAATCCCATGGATGCAGTTGCTAAGTGCATTTTCTGTTTCTCTCTTGTGCTCATCTTTTGCATTTCTTCTTTTCTGGTGCTGCTGTGGGCTTTATTATATACCGACATTGCATATTACAGTTGTCTAAGTATGCATAGGATAGAGGGAAGGTTTTAACATCCAACTTCAATTTTTTTTCTAAATTTCATAATCACCAAGAACAATGATTCTATTCCATAATGAAGTTCTGCGACCTTAATGCACTTGCTGTAAATAAAGTGTATTCCTTCGTCCATTTTTTGCTTCATTGATTTATAAGCTCTACCCTTCTCCATAATTTCTCACATGAGTATGTTCCTTTAGCATTGTATTAAATTAAAAATTATCATATTTTCTTGAATGATATTATTACCAATCATAAGGATATCTATTTTCTTCCAGGTTACAGACAAAAGGTGAAGGACATAGTTCAAGGTGCTTTATTCCCTGAAGCTGGACTAGAAAATAGAGTTGGTCATGCAGGTGGAGCAGGTGGACTTGTGATTGTTCGAGATCTTGACTTGTTTTCCTATTGTGAGTCCTGCTTGCTTCCATTCCAAGTCAAGTGCCACGTGGGCTATGTCCCCTCTGGTGAAAGAGTTGTTGGTTTAAGCAAGCTCTCTCGTGTGGCTGATGTATTTGCAAAACGGCTTCAAGAGCCTCAGCGTCTGGCAGATGAGGTTTGTTCTGCTTTGCATCAGGGAATAAAGCCAGCAGGTGTTGCTATCATACTTCAATGTACACACATCCACTTTCCAGACATTGAATCGGTCTTTCTTGACACAAAGCACCAAGGATGGATGAAGGTACTTGTTTCCTCAGGTTCTGGGGTTTTTGAGAACAAAACTGCTGGTGTATGGGCTGATTTCTTTAGTCTTCTTAAATTTAGAGGCATCAATATGGATAAAATTCATTTTAGAGGACCATCTGATCCATGCTGGTGTCCTTCCCAGTCCTCTCTTTCTTCCAAAGTTTCCTCCAAATTTGGACCAGTCAATCCTGTAATGATCACTGCAGTAGCTTCAATTATTGAATCTTTGGGAGAAGATCCTTTGAGGGAGGAGCTCATAGGGACTCCCAGTAGATTTGTGAAATGGTTGATGAACTTTCAAAATAGTAACTTTGATATGAAGCTGAATGGTTTTCTTTGTGGTGGAAGTGTCAATGAGGAGGTTAACTTCAACAACAAAAAAATATCCTCTGAGCTGAACATACCATTTTGGTCACAATGTGAGCATCATTTGCTTCCATTTCATGGTGTTGTTCACATAGGATACCTCATGTCTGACGGATTCAATCCTATCGGAAAATCACTTCTACAATCAATAGTACATTTTTATGGTTTCAAGCTCCAAGTTCAGGAAAGGCTTACCAGGCAGATAGCTGAAACCATTTCCCCACTGTTAGGTGGAGATGTGATAGTAGTTGTAGAGGCAAGCCACACATGTATGATTTCTAGGGGAATTGAGAAGTTTGGAAGTAGTACAGCTACTATTGCTGTGTTAGGACGTTTTTCAACCGATCCTACTGCAAGGGCTTCATTCTTGCAGAGTATTCCTAGTCCTACATCATCTGGGGAGCAATGACTCTTGTTTTAGCTCACATGAAATAATTTAGCACTAGTTAAGATCATTTTGCACTTTGAAATTTCAGACCTGCAAAGTTTCAGTTACTCAAATTGTTTCAGTAACATATATAGAGTCAGAAACTGTGTCATGATTGATAGTCACATCGTTATCTGTGTCTTCTCGAGTCTTTTACATGATCATTACAACAAATCCCTAAGAAATTTGGCTTGGATTCGTCCAGATTTACATACTGGCAGACTGCTCCTAGAATTTTAATGATGTTAGTCTACCCTGAAAGTTATTCTTGATGTTAAAGTCAGAATACATGTTATAAATTCTTATTACTTTGTATGAAGACTCAGCGTACCACTTGTTTTACATGCTAAAGGCTATAGTGCTTGGTTAGGTATTCTATTGGCGGAATGGAGATCCTATTGATTCCTCAGCAAGTATATCAAGTTGTTCAAGTAACAAGGGGTGAGTATTAGGATTGTTCTACACGGATTGAACTCAAGCAATGAAGCAACTGTTATTGTTGGGATGCAAGTAAAGTCCTCCCAATGCTCAACAGTTATTTCATTAATGTAATACTACTTAAGCAACCTTCATCAATTTAAAATAAGAGTTGAATTGTTATTTTTATTGTGTACGAGTGCAAAGCAATTTAAAGAATAAATAAATTCACAAAATTCATTAACATGAGTGATTTCAACTAAAATTCGATCTCTGATTTAGTAAAAAAAAATTAAACAATTTTACAAAACAACAAAAATAGAAATGGGTTCAACGGTGTAAAAGCAGTCGAGGATTGATTTCACTCGATTTTTCCGATTTGTTCATTAACAAGACTCAATTCGAACGACGCCTTACTTTTCTAAAAGGATTGTTCTGCTTTAAATTTCAACCGCATGTTATCATGAAATGAAATAACCATTACCAAGAACAAAATCAATTGATCACCAATCACTTCTAAATTACAAGTCTTTTCACCAAGCTTCAATTACATAACCATTATATACATAGCCATATCAATAATATTTATAGCTACCATATGTGCCGAATTTTATGCCACTCTATTGGGTTGCTCCTCGGAGCTTTCAGTTTTAGACGTGCAACATGAGCTTTTCTATTTTGTGCCAAGTCCATTGCGACTCCTATTCCTAGAATCAGAAAAATCATGCACAGTGATAGAGATATTTTATGAACCTGCAAGCACCATCAGTTAACACACTTAATAGAATTCTTTTGTAATTGGCAGACAGAAAATATTAACAACGTAATGTGCAAGAATGATGGAAAATTGGCAAACCACCAGCAAATTCCTATTGTCTACTGTACTCAGTTATTTCAGAATAGTAAATAGGATTTTGCTAATGTCTGCCCTTAAGACACAAAGCCCTTAGGACAACTTGAGAAATAAAAATTTGAAACTATTAAAAAAAAAAGTAAAAGCATTTAATATCTAGAAACCTAAAAAATAAAAAAGCATTTGTTTTCTAGTTTAAGTAATGTGTAATAACACCCTGATAAATAAAGAATAAAGAGACCACAAATCATTATAAATCACAAGAAACACGAGTTTTTTACTCAAATAATACTATTTTAAAAAAAAAAAACCCAAATAACAACTGTACAAATTTATTTCCTCAACTAGCACCATTTACTGTTCACATTCAGAACGGACCGTCCGTTCTAAAACCAGAACGGACCGTTCCAGATTAAAAAATAACACATGACGAATGGATCAGAACGGGCTGTTCCGGATTCAAAATTAGCACATAAAAAATAGAACCAAAACGAGCCGTTCTGAATCCGGAATGGGCCGTTCTGGCCTATAAATAACATTTTTTTGTTCAATTTTCACTTATCAAATATCAAAACTCAGAAACTAACATCAAATAATTAAATTTATTGAATATTAACATTATAAATATAACTAAATAAACTTATTAAAATTCAATACAACAATAAAGATCAATGGTGGCTGAAACTGAATTCATGACCAATATTTGGATATGTCTTCCTAGTGTGACCATGCGAGCAAGGAATATGAACTTTCTGAAACTTGCCGCAATCACACCACATTACATTTAGTCTTACTGTAAATCTCCCAGCGGGTCATGCGAGCAAGGGATATGAACTTTTTGGAACTTGTTGCAATCATACCATATTTCATTTAGCCTTATTGTAAATCTCCCAACGAGTCATGCAAGCAAGGGATATGAACTTTCTGGAACTTGCCGCAATCATACCACATTTCATTTAGCCTTACTATAAATCTCTCAGCAGGTCAAAATTCTCTCGAATGTTGCATTTCTTCCAACTTTGTGGCCAAATCCAGAACTCAAGAGAACTTTCAAGGGTCGGCCAAAGTCCAGCAGGATTAGAACAGAGATGGACATTAGAGAACAACATAATCGTGTAAAAAATTGTTCCTATTGTCACACCCCTAGTCACACTAGGAAGACATATCCAAATATTGATCATGAATTCAGTTTCCGCCACCATTGATTTTTATTGTTGTAATGAATTTTAACAAATTTATTTAGTTATATTTATAATGTTAATATTCAATAAATTTAATCACTTGATGGTAGTTTCTGAGTTTTGGTATTTGATAAATGAAAATTGAAAAAAAAAAAGGTCTGAATCTGTAGGCCAGAACAGCCCGTTCCGGATTCAGAACGACCCGTTCTGGTTTCACTTTTTGTGTTTTAATTTTGAATTTGGAATGGCCCGTTCTGATCCCTTCTCCATGTGTTATTTTTTAATCTGGAACAGCCCGTTCTGGTTTCAGAACGGCCCGTTCTGAACGTGAACAGTAAATGGTGCTAATTGGAAAAATAATTTTGCACAGTTGTTATTTGGGTAAATTTTTTTAAAATAGTATTATTTGAGTAAAAAATTCTTAGTAGCACACACTTGGAATTCCAAAAGTATAATGATTTATAACATCTACAGGGATTATATCCAAACTTGCTAGCTTAATTCAAATATGATCTGAAAACATGGTAACATAATTAAAACCACATTGTTGAGAAAAGAAAAATAAAAGTTCATAAGTTTATTATGACCCTGTTGCTAATAGCTATAAATTTGAGGAAATAACACATACCTTATTCATAACCTTGCTTTTCTGAGGAAAATTTCTGTCGGCATGTGCAAGACTATATCGTAGCATTCCAATTATTGCAGACTCAGTTGCTGGACAATCGCAATCTGCAGAAAAGATATTGTTAAATTTCTGTGAACTAATTGACAATATTCGATGAAAGGAAAGGTGTCAAGGTGATAATATTAGAAAGGGTACCTGGGATGTCAAAAATTTGCTTGCTAGGTGGAATTCCCAATAAACTTCCCAAATGAGCACGGACAAGTGCACGATCAGAGAAAGAAAGGAGATCCCCATGAGTGAAAACAAGTACAGGTTTGTCATCTGCAGGTATTAGAAATAAATTATCAGATTGACTATAGAGAATAGTAATTTGGTTCATGGAGTATATAAGATGAATGGTGGAAAAATATGCACAATATTTTCAATGAACATAAAAAGTAAATAGTATGCAGTCCTTAATTTACACAATACATTATGCAAGAGATACTACACCAGCACTGAAGAGAATTTTGAAAAGCCCAAAATATATTGTACAGACAAAGATATCAGTCTTCCATAAAAGTTCAGACAATACAAAGCACAAATTTTAAAATGCAACTCGTGTACAACAAGTGACTCTTGAATATCTACTGGAATTGCTCATTTAAAAGGAACTATTAATTGTAAATGGCAAGAAACAAAAACATTGTATGCCTTCCAAGTTCCAGACACTATTTCACAGGACTCAAACATGTAAACACCTGGAGTAGATTAGATGGAAATCAGAAGTAATCACAATGTTTTTGTTCACAATTGTCTAGGTTTTATGATACTATGATTGTCTACCATGTGATAGAAACTGGAAATTAGAGCTGAAAATTTTATATTTATTTTCACACCATAATTCACTCTCTGTCTCTGCTATTGATATAAACTGATATCAATAACAGAAAGCTTATACATAGAGTATAACCCTCATAGGAAAGAAAATGAAAAGAAAGAAATAAAAGTAAAGGCTATGTACAAGGGTCCTGTGTCCTCCCAGTATAAAGGTCCCAACTCACATTCAATTCTACCTACCTCTCTCTTCCTCTCCCATCACATTTTATCAAGGTGACAATTTGACAAACACCCACTATTTTCATACATTCTGTCTCTGTCCATGTAAGCATTCAGTTATAAGTGTAGTGAATACTTCCTCTTTCACATTCCTCAAAGAAAAACAGACGTGAAATTATGTGTATTTCATATCAAATTTCCAGTGTGAAGCAGAGGATGATGCAAAACTCTGAATGAATCAACATGTAGTTGCATCATACAGACTAGACTTAATTTACTTTAGAAGTATAGCATCATATTTATCTCAAAAATAAAATAAAACCTAATAGAGGAAATTAAGAAAGCGCATACACATAAGTTCACACACTATCACCATATGATCATCAACAATTTTCACAACGAATTTACATGGAACTAAGATGTCTGAAATTGCAACACATGTTGAATTTGCAATTTCATTCTTGTTTAGTAGGACATTCATTGGCGCAAGCTAGGTAAGTTTATATTTCCTCAACCAGCAATATTTATTAATTTGAATGCACTCATAAGCATATCACATTGCCTTAGAAATCATCTTTCAAAGTAGATATTAGGATCCAAGCTTAGGTCAGATATACAACAGATCAAGCCGCGAGATAGAAAAGTACAACTTACACAGTTTTTTTAAGTGAAATATGATTTTAAGTGAAATATGCCTATTAACCTAAAAGTAACAGGTGCAGAAAAACAATAGTCTTTACCAATTTTGTACTTCTTGCTCTCCCACAGGTGAACTCTAAATTATCCTAAGATATAATCTAGATGTTTTTGAATATTCTTCGGATATTCTCTAACACAACACTATAAAATTTATAAAATGGAAAACATAGAAACTAGTCCTGAAAATACCTTTAAATGACAGGAATGGGCAATTGAAAGTAGAAACAATGGTTTCAACGTACTCTGTCTCCAAAGCACCAGCATTCTGCAATGCTTTCAGAACCAAAAGACCATTAACAACATATATTACAAAATTAACTTTCCTGGTCTTACTGGAAAAGTAACCTTTCTTGTAAGCTTTAACCTCCAAACTTTGCCTCAATGTCTGATTATCTGTATTCCTGATAGGTGATTCAAAGAAATTGATGTAAACACTAACATATGAGTCAACTTGGAAATTAAGTATATTAAATATTCAAACCTAACAAGAAGCTCTCCATGGTGAACACCTTTTGTCATCCACCTCTTCAGCATTCTAATATTCTCATCCTTATGTGAGTTATCTAACAAACTACGTGTATCATAAAGACAAATAGAATTTGAGTCTCTTGGAATCATGTATTCCTGCAGGAAGTATGTTCCATCCCCTATAAGTGAATTATCTGGCATCAAAAGATATAGGAAATTTCTTAGGTGAATAAGCAGTGATTTATCCTGATGTACAGAGATATATATACAATGGTGAAATGAAATTATTGCTTCATTCTTCAAATTGACATTTAAATACAAGTTCAAAAATTATACATGATTCTTGTGCTCTGACCGGTGCAAATTTGTCATCCTCAAACACCTTTGAGATTCTATTTATCAGACTACTTTTCCCAGAACCACTTGGACCAACCAATAAGAGGCACGTTGTCTTTGGTATATCATAATCACATGACTTTAAGCCACCAACCTGCTCAATCCATGCTCCAGGCCTATAGCTGTCAATAAAACCAAAATATAAGACAATCAATATTAAATCTTTTGAGGTTCCATATCACACTTTCAATAACTTTTATAATGATCAGCAACTATGCGTGCAGTCAATCTCTCTCAAACTCTTAAAAGTTGAATTGACAAAGAGCTGCACATCAATTTCGATCACATACTTTAAGATCGCAAGTTTTCATCAAATACATCATTAAGAAGAAAAACATCAAGTGTTTCCAGGAATTGCATGCACAAACATAAAACTACATGTTAAAAACTAACAAATATCTATTGCCTGATATGTATGACACTGTTCTAAATTTTTTATTTTTTTTAACAGCACAGTTATTATGAGTCAACTCTCTTTAATTTGGAAATAATTACGAACCACACCAGCCCCTAGATTGCTCAAACAAATTTGCACATAGTGACTGAATTGTGGTTGCTAAATTTATGTTACATGATACAAGACAAACAATCTGAAGTTGATGCTTTCGACTGATGTTCTACATTCTTTTTTCAAGGAGTTCTGAAACAAGTACCAATTAAATCATGATTGTCAATTCCTTGACTCTTTTTATCCTTTTCTTAAATTAAGTAGTCACATCAAATTTCTAAAGAGGATGCTACAAACCTTCGATGTTTAAATGTTGAATTTCAAAATAATTTAACACAAACTGGAAAGTTGATGTCAAAATGCATATGGGTTATAGCAGATAAAGCTTATGCTCAAATCAACACCTCAAGATTTTTTGTTTTTCCCTTTTCAAATCATTGCTATGAATCTCCAATTCACAACATTGCAGGATTTCTTTATACATGCTAAGCCTTCTCCTATCATTAACTTCAAAATCAACTCTAGAAGAGAAATGTGTATTTTCTCCACCAATTTTGCTACAAGCCAACCCATTGCCCACTTTCATCATGCTGTCTTCATCCTGCAAGTCCAGATTATCTCTGAAAAAATGGAGATCACAAAATCATCACCATGTATCTGTCGGTAATAAGTATACTAACGTCAATCAAATGATGACAAAAAATGAATAAAGAAGTAAAGGAAACTTCTTTAACCCTAGAACCATAAAAAATGCAGTGCACCAACTAAACCAAGATGAAAAGTTAAGTTTTGCAAATTTCCCCTTAAATGCCCAAACCCAAATGACATGTATATTATCAATGCCACTCTTAGTCATTCAGTGATACACTAATTATGTTTTCTGAGCAGCTTACAAGGGCTACACATTAAATTTAGAAGCTCTAGCAAATTAAAAGGCCAATCACTAAATTTGTTTGAAAATTTTAAATATATAAATTTAAAGAGAAGTAGACAACATAGATAAATAAAGAGATTTCGCTGTAAATATAATGTACTTTTAAAATATTTGCACAAAATGTATTTGCCTCCATACAGTTACAGACTTTTTCCTTCGGAAGAAATATTAAAAAGCAAAGCGAAATAACCAAGTATATAGTACTTTTTAGGCATCATTATAATTTAATGAAACAAAACTACATAGTATATTAGTATTTTCACCCTTCTATCTTTTACCATGTTTGTAGAAGCACCTGAACAAACTTTGATGAAAATCAAAAATTCAAACAAGAACAATAGCCTGCGATCATCAGAGTACCTGACAGCAAGTGGTGCGTGAGAAGAAAGCAAGGGAAAATTCTCCTCCAAACAGAAACCTTCATCTGTACCTGAGCAATGGGAAGTGGGGTAATTTGATAAATAAATAAATAAATAAAAAAGGAAACTTTCATGATTCCTTCAAAAAAAAAATGATGAAAAAGAAGAAATTTTTTTTTTTTTTTACGAGGAAAAGAGAAAGAGAAGGGAAACTGAAAAAGACCCAGAAAGCCAAATACCATGAGAAACAATGGAATCACCACCCATGCTGCCTTGTGTTGTTTCTTTCATTCAATGGTTTTGGAGTGAAGACATGTTTCCATCACTACATCATACTCCGCTTTCTAACTAATTAAGAAAAAATAATGAAGGAACCTTCTTGTCTACGAAAATGGACCATTTCCATATATTCTTAACTTATAAAACTAAAAATTGACTTTTTGTTTAGATATACATTACAACCTAGATTTTTTTTTTTAAAACCGCAACGCAATTATCTGGAGTCTGGGGCGGGATGTGTTGTTGGGGAGCTGAGAGATATGTGGTTGTTTGTTACAAATTTTGTTACAAAAAAATTGAGTAAATAAGCTTGAAAGTAGACCTGTCAAAACGGGTCAATCCAGCCTATGTAGGTTAGTTTATCTTGACTTACTTTAAAAATGAGCTAATCCAACCTAGTCTATTTTTAATTTTTTCAAAAAAATTTGGCCCAGCCTGGCCCACCACGGGTTGGTGGGTTATACGGGCCAGCCCACTAGCCTAAAATTAAATACAAATCATGATAAAAGTCCAAAATAAAAATTTTCAATATCCCATCATACAAAATTAATTATAAATCATACTTAAATTTTTATTGCAAAAAAAAATTGGTGGGTTGGTGGGCTACCCGACCCACCACGGGTTCAGCCTGGGTGGGTCAGGTCAAAGTGGGCCGGGTTGATATATACCCACCTATTATAAAACTTTAAATTTTTTTTGCCCAGTCAGGCCCGTTTTCAAGGTGGGCCAGGTTGGCCCACGGGTCCCAACCCACTTTGACGGCTCTACTTTAAAGACAGATAGTTATTTTATGTAATTAAGATTTATAATAAATAAAAATATTTTAAAATAAAACCATCTTTCAAAAATTTAAGCTTAAATGTAATTTTGGTCTCTTAAAAGTATTATAATTATGAGATTTTAGTTTCTAAATTTTAATTAAATAATTTTAATTTGTTAAATATTTTACGAGATCTTTCAATGTTTAGTTGAATAATTTTATTCCCTTAAATAATATAATTGTATAATTTTAATTTCTTCTTTTAAAAATTTATTAATTTTTATTCATGCTTGCTAATAGAGTAATGGTGATGATGACATGATATATCGATATTTATAATTAAATTTATTTTATTTAATATATTTATATTTT